ACATTTTTATTTTTATTTCCCTTTTTCTTTTCTCTCTTATGCATGCTGCCTGGAAACTGTTTTTCTTGTTCTTAGCAGTAATAAGTAGGCAACAGGTGACCACCCGAAACCCACCCAGCCTCATGAGCACAGGTGATTATCAGTTCAGGAAAGGAACTGTCATAAAAATGCAAACATTTTGACAGTTACTGGATTGTTATGTCATATTTTGTCTGCATGTTGAAACAAGTATGCTCTCAATTCTCATTCTGATTTGTTTAATAGCAGATTTCTTTTGGATTCTGCCAGCATAAGTGCAGTTTGAATATCTGCAGGTAGCAGTTAAATAATACCTTCATCCTGAATGATTATACCCAGAATGATACTCCATTACCAAACTAGCCTTGAAACTTCAGATATAATACTGGGAGGTAGTGATCTTTGGATTGTTTGCAATTCTGGATATTTTTCTGGTAAACAGTTTTTGATTGCTAACAGTACTTCTTTTTTTAAAAAAATGTTGAAAATCAAAAAGGGATATAGAAAAAGTCAAGGCAAAAGTAAATAAATAGAGTAGTATTTTCAGTATGGTTGACATGTTGGAAAATATTACACTAGTCAGAAAATAAACAGTTTAATTTTTAAGTTTATATATACAGCATGATTAATTTGGCTTCTCCATGAATTTTGCCAAAATCTCATCCAATCCATGCACACACAAGATAAGATACATATACAGTGTTTTCCCACAAATTGGATACCAAGGAAGATGAAATTTTTGGAAACAACAATGGTTATAGTATACTCATTGAGTATACTCAGAATAATAAATAATAAATACCTTAAAATCAACATGCTTGTTTGGCTTATGAGAGCACCTTTATTTTGAAAGGATGATCATACTTTATTAAATAGCTCTTGAGTTGCATTTTTATTATTGTTATGCTTATTAGCTTAATATAACCACAGGTATTATTGGAAAATTTAGATCATTTACAAGCAAAGTCAATGGCATTAAGTCTAATTCTATGTGGACAATTGCTTTTCTGTTCTACTAATATGCCTACATACATACATAAAATGGTAAAATGGAAGTAATTCATTCATAATCACTGAACTGAAACTTTTCTTAATATTAACTTTAATAACAACTATGTATTAAAGAAACATTTGAAGCAAACACCAGAATATT